TTCAGTTCCCAAAGCAGGTCGGTCTGCTCCTCACAAACAGCTCCCTGACAATTGCCTGACCTCTAGGCAGGGGGAGACTTTTTAGCTGTTTGTACTCCTTGTGATCCATTCCCAGCACTGGCAAAACAAGTTTTGCAACTTGGCTGGGGCCTGGCAGTAATAACCTCAGAGCTAATAGCTCAAGCATTGTCTCTTAGGGTGTGCTTCACTAGCAACATTAAAGTGCTGCCTTGGCTGTGTAGTCGCGGCATAGCGTTGGGTGGGAGAGAGCTCTCCCAGCACTGTAAAAACACCACCCCCACAAGGGGAGTAGCTCCCAGCACTTGGAGTGTGGCTCCCAGTGCTGGGGCACTGTCTACACTGGCACTTTACAGTGCTGAAACTTTTAGCGCTCAGGGGTGTGTGTGTGTTTTCACACCCCTGAGCGAGAAAGTTGTAGCGCTGTAAAGTGGCGGTGTAGACAAGGCCTAAGTGAAGTGTCCTGTAGTTGTTTTATCTGGAGCCACTGTTTCATTTCGGTTCCCAACCGTTTGCTATTAAATTAAACCAACATATGCATACTGTAAACATCTCCATAACCCAATAAAGCCATACAGTGACTATCCCAATAATCAGGTCACATATGGTATACGTTACATTATAACAGAGCAGCTCCACACTTATCACACATATACAGCAATCAAAGTGAAATATTGCAGTGTTTAATATTGGATTGATAATTTCTCCAGGGATTGTATCATGAACTTTCTGAGAGGGGCTCAACAATTTAAAAGGTCTTTTCCTCTCTCTGATTACTAAAGCTGGGGTTTTCAAAGGAACCTACAAGTTAGGCACTGAATTCCTGTTTACTTTCAATGGGATTTGGGCAGCTAATTCCTTTAGACCCCTTTGAAATATCCCTTTGCAAAATGGCTTGTTCAAGATAACACAGAATTGGAGGCAGAGGTAGAAGTAGAACCCAGGAGTCCTGACTGCCCATCCTCTGCTCTCACCAAGACAGAACGGCTACTCATTCACTCAGCAGTTAAGTTTTCCTTTCCAAATAATAGCTTCCCAAATGTACATCTTTTCTTTAAATATTAATTGACAGATGATCAGTGAACTGGTGTATGTCCAAATTTCAACAACCTGGGGAAAAGCGATCTGACTAAACAACGCACTAAACAACAGCAGGGAACCACGCAGCATTCATACCTGATGATGGAGACCTCTTGCTATGAACGGACTACAAGATTCCCCCTGAAAGCTTCCCGCCTGAAAGCAACTGTGGGATCAAGAGTGCAGCGAGGGTAGACATGCTGGCTCTGAATCCAAGCATTTTTTTTTGACATTACTCTCATTCAGGATACATTGGTTGCATCTGAGGCCCCAGGCTTCAAATGTTCATTTGATTTTTGTTGACCAGGGGTTAAAAAAAGTCTCTGTTTGCAGGTTTCCAGGCTTTGTGATTTCACATACATTTATACCAAAGTTTAAAGTTCCTTATTATATATAAATTTTCCTAGTGCAATTGAAGATTAATGGCATGTTATGGCTGCCAGAACCTTATCCCAGGACAAAGAACAAGAGCTTAGCTGTGAGTTGGGATGCCTGGAGAGTGGATTTAAAACAACTTCTATCACACTTATGTGTCCTGTGACAGTGTTTGGAACCTGTGGATTTATCAGCACTGACTGAGCACTTTATCTGTGGTTCGAAGCCAGCGAAAGGCTGTTGAGTGTCAGAAAACCTTTGCAAGGGTGTCCTCTGCCAGCAAGCACTAGGGAAAATGCCCAATGCCTGCTAAATGAAAGATAAAGGCCACCCCCACACTACAGACTTCTGCTTAGGGTGACCATATTTCCCAAAGTCAAAACAGGTCACCATGGCCCATGGCCCGAGCCCTCCCCTTCCCCTCCCTCCCTACTCAGGGCTGGCCCAAGCCATTTGCCTGAGCCCTTACACAAGGTTGGGATCGCTGTTCACCCAAACCCTGCCTGCCCCTCCCCAAAAAGGCTGGGGTCGCTGGAACGCCCCTGCGCCTCCCACAAGAGGTTGTTGCTAGAACCCTGCCTGTCTCCCGCAATAGCCCTCCCTCCCCCACTGCAAGGAGCTGGCACCTCCCTTTAGCACCCCAACACGTTCCTCCACACCACACCCCCCTTTTTTGACAAAAGTGGGCATTTGTTCCATTCGCTCTTGCTGGAGAAAGAGAAGTGGAGCAGGGTGGTTACCTGCTCCAGCCCTGACATGGCTGAGGCCAGACCTGGGAGAGGGCTGGGGCTGTGGGGAAAAGCCCAGGCTGATTAAGGGAGCAGCTGCAGCTGTGGCCAGCTCAATCGGGCCCAGCTGGCCCCTATAAAAGGCTGTGAGCCAGGAGCCCACTCAGTCTCCCTCTGGTTGTAGAGGGGGAAGGGCCTGGCTGCAAGGTGCTGAGTAGGACACCCAGATTGGTGTAGGGCTGGGGAAGGGCCAGAGGAGTTGGGAGCTCTGGCCTGGAAAGCCTCAGGGTGCAGGGTTGGAGAGGGCCAGCCCCAAGGTAGGTGGAGACAGCAGATCCAAAACCCCCTTGCCTGTGATGAGTGGTATATACACTACAGTCTGCCTCTGATACAAGGGGCTAAATGGGGACTGGCAGTAGCCTAGACTGAGGTAGGATGGGGGTTCCCCTGGGTGGGGAGACCAAGAACCTGAGAGTGGGGGTACTGCCAGAGGGGCAACACCCCAGAGAAAGTGGCACTGTGTCCTGGGAGGGACATGAGGGCTGGTGGTAAGGTGGATCACTGGCCTGCAGAGGGTGCTCTGGTGGCTGGATGAGCTAATTCCTGATGACTACCAGCAGGAGGTGCTGCAGGGGTGGGTCTGAACCTTTACAAGGAGGCTCTGGGTGGAGAAGGAAATAGTGTAGTTAAAGGAAGCACTCTGCTTCTGGAGCAACTGCAGAGCCTAACACTGATCCATTTGCCCCGGGCCAGTGCACTTTAGGGTAAGCTGCTAGTTGATTTGTGGTGTCTTTGGGAGGTAATTGAGGCAGGGGCCTAGCAAGGGTACGAGTATTCCCTGGATCAAAACAAAGCCTTTGAGTGTGGCTTGAGTATCTGTAGGGTGGCTATAGCACTAAAGGATCCTGAGCACTTTGCCTGGCTGCAGACCTCCTACAAGGGGGCTGTTAGCTACCCTTTGGTTGCTAGCTGGCTAGGGCGGAGGGCTATCTGGCTGAGGTCTGGGGTGAGGCAGGGCTGTCCTTTGAGCCCATTGCTCTGTGTTCTCAGTGGATCCCTGGGTAGTGGGTGGTCGAGATGGGGGGTGGGGCGAGGCCATCTCAGTTTCCCTCAGGTAGTAGCTTTTGCAGATGATACATCGGTTATGGTCCCGAATCATGAGGAGAATGACAGGTTGAGGACTTGCCTCCGGTGATATGAGCAAGTGTCGGGCCTAGTTTGACAAAGAGTAAGGCATTATGGCTGGGTGATGAGGAGTTCAATGGTCCAGCATTCCCCCCTTGCAAGGACCTCAGAGTAGACAGCAGGAAGGTGTATTGAAGATCTTGGGGACAGAGTCCTGCTTGGAAGGAGCGACTGTGAGACTGAATTGGGAAAGGATGATCCTGGAACAGGGGATTGGGTGATGAAGGAGCTGGCATGCACCCTTCATATTCTACAGAGTGCAAATGATTCTTCAATACCTATGTCTGCTCTTCCTTCACTTGGGCTAGAGTGTACATCCCACCCTCGGCCCAAGTGATGGGTTGCTTTTTCCTCTTTGGATGTGTCTTGTCCCCATAAATTCAGTAAGAGGCCTCTGGCCTGTCAAGAGGTGGAACACTGGAGCTTGGGGATGAGACACCCAGAGGTGTTTTCTAGAACCTTGAATTTGCGTTTTTATCTGCAAAGGATGCAGCAGATCCTAAGTAACCAGTAGGGTCCTACCCAGAGTAGGATTCCAATCTGGGTTCAGTGCTGTCAGCAGAGGGGTTGGGGGAGCACTGATGTGCGGGGGGGGGGGGGTAGGTGGGAAGGGAAGCTTGTGAAGTTGTGGCAAGGATGGAGAAGTCAGATGAGCAGAACCAACTCTCTGAACATCTTTTTGGAGTAGTCCAGTCCTTATGGACATGGTGGGGGAAGGGAGGACAGACCATATGGGGGATGCATCAACAGGTGTTGGAGGCTCAGGTATATGAGCCCTTGCAGTTGGATGGTTGCCCAGATGAGTCATTTCAGGGGCTTTGAGACTTCTATGGTCCCATAGGGTTCCCTTTAAATATAAAGAGGAGAGGGTGTCCAGAAGACTTGGAAGCATCTGCTGGAGGCATGCCCATGGGCTCAGAAGGTGAGGGTGGGATTAGTGAGGGTACTGAAAGTGCTAGTTAAGTTAGGACAAGAGCCAAGCATATGGGCAATGGTTGGGGGGGAACCTCTCATCAGCATGCTCCCATGTACCTTCCTCTGGAAGACAAGGTGTGAGGCGGTATTTCAGATGAACCCCCTTACAGGGGCTTCTCTGGAGAATTTCACACACACAATCTGGAAGTCGCTGAGGTATGCGGAAATGAAGAGCTGCCTGGAGAAAGAGGAAGTCGTGGAGGCACATCCAAGTTTAATATGGGTTGAGTTTGTCTGACCTCTCTTTGAGGGTTGGGGAGGAGCCCAGACTATAGGTCAAGACACCTTTCGCAGCATGCTTGGGGCAAATGAGAGAAGGAGTAAGAGGATGTTGGTGAATGTTTTTGTTCATGATATGGTGGGAATTGGAAAGAGATTGTGTTGGGTAGGGGGAATATGCTGGACCGAGAGTATGGTTCATTGTACTTACCCTAGATATCATAGAGACCAGTATGTCAGGAGCATGTGGTACCAGTATTGTGTAATGACTGAGGATTTTGCTATTGCTGTTGGCTATGATTGTTTTCCTGTCTTTTGTTTTCAGTGGAGGGATTCCTTTCTGTGTAGTGCTGCGAATTACACCTGATAGGTCACGCACAGTTCGAATCTAGGCTGAGGCACAGAAATAAAGTCAACAACTGCAGAGTTCCCAAAAGACACTAAGTTTATTATGCTCGAGCGTGGTGCCCCCCTGCTAGCCAGGAGGGGACCCTGAATGCAGATTATACAAAGGTTATATACCTTTTAGCAAAGCATGTTGCCCTTGTGCATCGGAAACCTTAGCCAATAAACAAACCCTTGTCTTATCTACCACCTATCCTTGCTTGGTGCATTCCTCGTGCTATACCAGTATGTTAATTACACAGCATGGTCCTAAAGCCATGTATCAGTAACTTTTATTATCAGGATGGGAGGCCTCACATCAAGGCCAAGAGACAGGGAGTTAGAGACTGACAAAAACCAGATACTGGGAGTCAAGGCAGGCTGGAGACAAGGAGGAGGATTTTCACAGGGATTCAGTATTTAAGGATTACTCCTCCTGGTGTATGATGTGCTGGCATTTAAACAATGGTGGGCCCCAAACCAAAATGGAGTCACATGTGCTAACTTTTCCTTAACAGTCCTCCCTTTTTTTTGTACGTCAGTAAGCTATATCGGGGCTGAGTAACCGTGCTGCAGGGTTAGCAACTGCCGACAGCACGTACTGCAGCATTGTAGGCGTTCAAAAAATAACGCAAAAACAATAACAGTCAAAAAAAGTAAATACAAAATACGCCGTCCCCAAGTCCCCACATCCGGTAGCCATGAGGTGAGCCAGTCCCAGACCTCCTGGAATCCAGCGCTGGTAGTGTCGAGGCTGATGTGGTGTAATAGGGCTGCCTGTTGCTTGAGGATGTGGATGTCAGTTTCCACCCTATGGTGCTGATTTACAAAAACACAACAGCTTGAGTTGACCAGAGCCCAAACCCCGCCTTGATTTGCAAGGAGATAATCCAGGGCTAGGTGGTTTTGCAATGTAGTTTGGGATAGCTGAGTGACTTCAATTTGAAGGGCAGACAGAGCATCTGCAGTAGCATTTGCCATTAATTCCAAAGCCGCTGAAATGTTAACTAGAGCTTTTTCCAGCTCGCTTACTCCCAACCATGGCAGAAACCAATGCACAAAGGAGTGAAAGCCTTTGGGCCGATAAGAAAGGGGGTTTAAAGGAATACTTCGTCGGTCCCTCCATACTAGATTGCGGATCTCTCACTGGGTCAGGTTCTGGTGTACTGTCACGGCGGGTACTATAGCCCCTAAGGTACATGTACCACACCATCCTGCTGGAAGAACCTTATAGGCTGTGTGATTGCATAACCAATACCAGCCAGACCCCTTGGGGACTGGCCACAGGGTTCTGGAGCAGGTAGAGGGGCCTCCCGCACCAGAGCTGATTTGGGTGGTGTTCTTGCACCCTACAAAATTCCCTACAAAAACTGTATTTTCTATGCCCTTACGTTGTGACCCACACAAAGCATAATTACTCTGGGCCACCATATTAATAGACCATATTTGGACTGTAACATTCCAGTTAAATGTAGTGTTTGCCCATAGCTTAGCTTGGAGTGTTCGATTAAGGGGGATAGGTACCCCTACCAATGGGACGCCCTGACCTAAATATGTGGGGGTACGAATACAAATCCAACACTGCGTTCGATTTACACCCTGTTTGATAGCACGGGTTAAATTCAAGAAGCTATTGCCCTCCCATCCTTGTACTGGACTTGGGAATAGGGAGAGAACCCCCCCCCAGGCAAACCATACCAATGTCGACATCCTCCTCTGTACTATACAAAAAACACTACCCCCAATGTAAGTCCAATAAACAGGAACACAAAAAGTCCTGGTGGGCTATGAAGGTCCCAGTAGCTGGAAAGCTCAGTCCATGGGTTGGTTGTAGTGTTCATTCGTGAAGTGGCTCGTCTGCTGGCTTGTCAGGGTCAGGTGGGGGTCCCAGCGCCAACTTAACGTAGCTATGATGGATCCAGGAACCTTTACCTGCAAAGGAGTGGTGGCAGATGGTGGGAGTAATGTTCGTGGCTGTAAGGCGTTTTTGGTATTTATACTTGCCTACAAGCACAGTTCCAGCCTCTGGAATAAACCCACCCCACCACTTTACTTCACATTCCCAAGAATACATTCCGCAACTTTCTCCCTGCCAATGTACAATGCTCCGTCTTTGCCATCAAGGCCAATTCTCAGTGTCTTTTGCAGTCAGGAATCCTTGGATTTTGGTGGTTTTAGCAGAGCAGGCGTTCCTTCTCTTTTGGAACAGGCATGGTTTTGCATTATACAGGGGAGAGGTTACTAGCACGTCACCCTGTAGTGCTTTGGTTTCTTTAGCAAATACTGAATGCAGGTTAGCTTTGTCAGTGGACAAGGGAGAGGTTACTAGCACTTCACCTTGTGTTTTTTTTTTTTTGCTGTTCAAAAGGAGGAAAGGGGAAAAAAAAAAAAACCCAGAAGGAGGGACAGGCTGATCAGTAGTCGAAGTGAAGTCACCTCAAGGTGGAGGGGTCGTCTTGCAGTAAGAAGCATGGGTCTAGGCAGTCAGTCCTTGGCACTTCACAGCGGTGTTGGTAGTTAGCAGGACTTAATAAGGGCCTTTTCAGCATGGGGCCAGAGTAGTCTTTTGTTGATGGACCTTTATGTAGACCCAGTCACCTGGTTTTAACAAATGGCAGGTTTGCTCAGGATTCTTGAAGCAGGACTTCTTTTACCTGTAAATACAGAGACCTAACACATTTCATTAATGTCTGGCAGTGTGTTGCAGATCTCACAGCTGCCTGGGCACATTTAAGCCCCCCTCTTTCTTGGCTGTTAGCCAAATCCTAGCTGTGAGTAGTGTCCTTGGGCAGGCCAGTGTCTTATCTTTGGACCGAGCCTGCCAGCTACCGAGTTGAATTAGCTCGTCCTCCATTTTATTTTTTTTCCCCTTCTTGGCTTTTATTAACCTGCAAAGGAAACTTTCACTTTTTACTTATACACCTTTGTTTAAAAAAGAACACATGTACATTGCCCATTATACAGCACTTTAGTCTTATTTTATAATGTATGCCACATATACCCTTCTAGGAAAATGACTTTATTACAGAGCTTTGGAGCAACAAGCCAGGACAAGCACACCCACTTTTGAGGAGTCCACTTGGTACAACTTCTGGTGTCTAATAGCTTTTTTTCCTTCCCAGCTCTCTGGCTAGAAATGTGAGGTAGCCAGAAGGATCTCATGTATAATATGGGGAGTGGGTTAACCTTTGATGTCCTTGCTTCCAAAGACTGTTGGTGTGCAAACTTAACAACAGTTTTTTTTAATTAAAAGATCTGGCCAATGAAATTTTTTTTTTATTTAAGCAAATGTATTAAACTTCAGTATATTACATTTTTTGATATTATTTAAACACTTTGTATTCCAAGTTGAATAAAACAAGTATCTGCATTTTGATTTTATTTTTTTATTTAGTTTTAAATTAAACTGTTTTATGAAAAATTAAACACAGCAATTCTGGCCACAAGAGAAACACCACAAGACAGAACATAGAACACAGAACAGAATTCCTATTGTGCCAGTAAATTCATGAGATGTTGAATTGCTTTTCAGCTGGCATTAGTTTTTTTTCTGATTTTTTTGAAAGACAAAAACACCCCACAGATTTACCCCTTTTGGGCAGTCAGTCATTGCTTAAAATATTTCCTTTTTATACAAATACCTTTGTTAATTGCAGACAAAACAGAGGAATTACCCATATTTTCTTGTATTTGTTTTATAGGCAGCCCAGGTTTCAGTGGCCTCTACCTTATTAGTTGGGTAACTTACATTAAAACAAATGCTTTCCGGCTTGCTTTTGGATTCACAGGTTAAAGATTCTTACTTTAAAAAGGGCACAATAAACTTTACCAGACTTTTGATTGCCTTTTACTTTTAAATCCTGCTGTTAAATACATAGCGACCTGAAAAGGAAGACACCACCTATTGTAGCCTCTTGGAACCTAATAAGATATTAATTAAGTAGCACTGTATAACTGCATTTTTTTGGAAAAGGGCCCTTTTTTTCCAAAATGGCTGCAAAGAAACCAAGAATTCTTTTTTTCCCAGTATTTCACAAAGTTTAACTGCTTAATTCTTTTCAGCAACTAAAGAGTTAACTACTTACTTTTTTTTTTAAATCACTTGCTTTTTTCCCAAAACGACACCCAATTAACTTAGATTTTACCATTCCAAGTATTATTCCGGGATTTACGTTTTTCATTCCTGTAATTATTTACTCCTCTCTTTTTACTATGACCTTCAAGTTTCCAACCTGTTTTCCAATCTCTCTAGCTGTTGCCTGCCCGCTTGGGCCCAATCCTGTTTTTTCTCTGAACTGTCCCTTCCATGAGCACCAGCTTTGTTTCACTACCAAATTAACAAGGAGGGTGGGCTTCTTATCTAGCCCCCAGCCCTCCTGGTCTCTTTTTTAAAATATTTTTACTTACAAGGGCTACCCGAGTCCTCCCCACATGAGGCTTGTCACCTGGACAGAAAGCACAGCTAATTGGCAAGCAAGGAGGTGACGGGTATAAGTCAGAAAGCCAAGGGTAAGCTGGAGGAGGGGCAGAAGCAGGCATAGCACAGAGCGGGGCTGGAGACCCCTGAGATGGAGGAGGAAAGAGGATGTCCTTTTGCATGCGCATAAGCCCAGTTGTCCCATACATACCAATAATTCATCTGGGCTGGAGCTTTGTCCTCCAGCCTCCTTCTAAGCACAGCAAAGGACCCATCCGGTGGCCATTCAACAGATGTTTGAGTTGTTAGTGCTGGCCACTCAACCTTACATAAAATAACAGCTTTTTTCCTGCCTAACTCATGGGTGTCAGAAATATTCCCCCAATTCTTGAGAATTTCAGCCAAAGGGGTCCCCTTACTTACACTCTGCCCAGAACCCATAATGGGCTACCAAAAGAACACAAAATGTGCCACTTTATCGCCTAAGCGATGGCTCACACCCCCCCCTCCTCGGAGTTCTCAAAGGTGAACTCACCCTGTGCCGGCTGGAGCTGTCCGAGAGGAGGACTGTAGTCTCGCTTGTTGGGGCGAGCCTAGAGTCCCTTCGGGGTCGCCAAAACTGTTACGAATTACACCTTGTAGGACACGCACACAAGTGCTGCGAATTACACCTTGTAGGACACGCACATCAATGCTACGAATTACACGTGATAGGTCACGCACAGTTCGAATCTAGGCGAGGCACAGAAATAAAGTCCACAACTGCAGAGTGCCCAAAAGACACTAAGTTTATTACGCTCGAGCGTGGTGCCCCCCTGCTAGCCAGGAGGAGACCCTGAATGCAGATTATACAAAGGTTATATACCTTTTAGCAAAGCATGTTGCCCTCGTGCATCAGAAACCTTAGCCAATAAACAAACCCTTGTCTTATCTACCACCTATCCCTGCTTGGTGCATTCCTCATGCTATACCAGTATGTTAATTACACAGCATGGTCCTAAAGCCATGTATCAGTAACTTTTATTATCAGGATGGGAGGCCTCACATCAAGGCCAAGAGACAGGGAGTTAGAGACTGACAAAAACCAGATACTGGGGGTCAAGGCACGCTGGAGACAAGGAGGAGGATTTTCACAGGGATTCAGTATTTAAGGATTACTCCTCCTGGTGTATGATGTGCTGGCATTTAAACAATGGTAGGCCCCAAACCAAAATGGAGTCACATGTGCTAACTTTTCCTTAACAGTATCAAGGACCTGGGCTTGGGTCAGATTGGGAGGACCCCAAAAGCAGTATCTTGAGCGCTAGGTAACGGACCCTATACAGAGGGATGGAGCACCTGTTATGGGACTGAGCCAAGACAATTAGTCATGGTTGACTTCTGCTTTGATTGGACTTTGGACACCAAGTAGACTGTGTTTGGAAGATGGAGTGAGTCATCAGTGTTGGGGCTCTCCTATCAACGGAGTTGTGAATGTTGGAAAGGAGGAGAAGGTTGCATTTTCTTGTATCAATTTGCTCTCTGCTTTTGACTTTTATCTGTTTTATGTATGTTTCTATTTTTGTTTTGTTGTCTGGGCTTCATTATAGTGGCTGCTGTGTTTAATAAAAGATTTCAGAAGGCCAGCTACCCTCTAACACAGCTCACAGAAAGCTGTTGCAACTTGAAAGCAATTCTGGATGTCTATTTTTGTTTTGTTGTCTGAACTTCATTATAGTGGCTGCTGTGTTTAATAAAAGATTTCAGAAGGCCACCTACCCTCTGACACAGCTCACAGAAAACTGTTGCAACTTGAAAGCAATTCTGGATGTCCTCTAAATTGTGCCAGTAGCTGAGTAGGATCCTGGCAGGGGCCAAAAGTAGGCAGGCATGCGCAGGAAAGGAGTAATACATAATATGGTCCAGTATCTTTCTGTATCTATGCTAAATATTCCTACTTTACTAACCACAATGACCGGCCAGCCAGAGTAGTGGCAGGAGGCATTTACCTAAATACAACTTTAGTTTAAATATACATTTTGTATGTCAAAACTCTTCAGAGAATTAAAGAGTGTGAGGGCAAGCATGAAACAGATGACAGAAAACAATGACTCAAGATATCTGGTGACACAGAAGTCAACCCACCCCAATGCCATGCTGGACACAGGTGCTGGTAAATGTCTTAAGATGGCAAGCCTGCCTCTTCCTCTTTGGATGGGCATTGACCTTCTTTCTTTGAGTGGGTCTAGAAGTCCCCACACCAAAACCCCCTTAAACACAGAGTTCTGAAATTACTTATATGTAAGAATATTAAGCAAGGGAATGGGTACAGGCCAATGGGCCAAAGTGGGGATGGGAGAGTGAAGGGAATTCAATAACAGTTAAACATTAGCACCATCCCTTCCCCTACCTCTGGAGGTGCCCCAAACCTCTAGCCCCCTCTCCACACTGAGGCCTTTGCATGGAGCTGAGATGTGCTAGCCTGGTGGGGTACATTACTCAGCCGGGGGCTGCTCTGTCTGGACTCCCAGCCTGCTAAGATACATTGCTCTTTGGCTAATGGGCATTAAGCTACCCCCGAGATGCTTGAGAGTCTGAGTCCACAGTGCTCACCACTAGCTCTGGTTTAGCAGCATTTATCACGGTCCTTTCCCCAGGCTCATGCACACCTACTCCCAGAGCAATATAGTCTGTCTTCCTCCTGTAGAGCACCCTTCCCTCCCCCCCACAGACACGCTATAGCCAAGGGGTCCTCATGGAATCCTCTGGCTTCTTGCCCTCTAGGACTTGGCTGCTTATGCTTGGGCTCCATCTTCTGGCTTACTACAAAACTATGTATTTAGCTTTCAAGTCTATGAAGTGAGTGGGGCCACTTACATGCTGATAAATCACTTGTGCATGTACTTAAGTGCTCTGCAGGCTCAGGGCCAGAGTGCACAGCACCTGTCAGAATTGTGTCCTGGAATCAGAAGATTGGAGAACAATGTTTGGGTGAGTTTTCTCCCCCTCCTGCAGTTTACTTTGTGTGGTTAGCAGTGTTTTGGGTGCATTTTGCCCCCTGGGGAGGGAGGGTCAGTGCAAGAAAAGAAATGCCCTTATGAAAACATGGTAGTGCTTATATGGATTTTATGACAAAAAGGGACCCGTACAAACATCTAGTCTGACCTCCTGCATTACACAGGCCAGAGAACTTCACACAGTAATTCTTGCATCAAGCCCATAATTTCTGGTAGAGCTAGAACAGGGGCCTCAAACTCAACTTAGGGCCAGTGCCAGTCCTCAAATCCTCCCAGCGGGCCAATAATGTCACTGAGGATGGTGTTCAGAAAAGAAAACATTTATATTGTATTTTTTATTTTGTATTTCTTAGAAATAATACTGTCATACAACTTTATATAATTCTTTGCCTGGCAGAGAGTTTTTAGTGTTTTGACAGACAGCTGGCAACGCTTCAGTTCTGTCAGTTTGTTGATGTTTGGCTTCAGTGACTGAGCGGTTGAAACCTTCAGGATTGCAGGGAGGTGAGCATCAGATAGTTGTGTTCGGTATTTTGACTTGTTTATATTCATTGTGGGGAAAAAAGTGATGCTGCCTCCATGGCTGACTCTGCTTGGCGACTAGTGATGGTATCTCTGTCCCTCTCCCCCAGCCAATGGGAGCAGGGCCTGCAGCAGACATTGCCAGCAGCATGTCTGCATGAGTGTTTCTTCTGCGGGCCGCGGTGGGGAGGTTCTCAGGCTGCAGATGGCCTGTGGGCCGGGACTTTGAGATACCTGAGCTAGAGCATCTGTCAGTTGAGGACATCTACACCTGTATTTCCCCTCAGTGGTTCAGCAAGGGCACCCACTCTCAGCTTCCAGCTCCTCAGCTGTTGCTTTTCTGGCTGGAGAGGTGAGTCTCCCTCCCTTCTGACTGGGCTATTCCCAGGCTGCACAGCTCACTGCCTTCACAGTGTATTTCCCAGCACAGAACCGTTACCCAAGGACACCTGCTTGCTTCCTCTTCGGAGATTGAGAACAGTTACAACTGTAGCAATTACACTATCACACAGCTCTAAGTAAGCCCACATTATTCTTAAGGTAAAAAGCAAACATATTAAAAACAATGCAAGTACCTACACACATGCTAATAAGCTTACCAGAATTAACCCCAACCCTAACACGACTTCTGGTAGAAGCAGTCCTTGAACCCCCTCCCCCACTCTAGACAGTCCTTGTGGTTACCAGTTCCACACAGCTTCAGCTCAGAACAAGCACACTCATGACAAGTTTAGTCTATGCAGGGTTGTCCACCCTTTCATACAGATCAGGAGTCTTTGATGTGGAGCTTCCAGAAGCAGGTAATTGGTACACAATGGGTTTCTCTCCCCAGGGTGTATCTTGGTTAGGTTGGCTTTGGAGGAAAGAATCTGCATTTGAGGTGAGCCTCAAATTACTTCATAGAAAATCCACTTCCCACACAGTTCCAAAAAGACCTCTGAACTCTCATACCTTCCAAAGATTGCATTGATCTTGTCTCCTTGATAAAGAAGTTCCATACAATCTCACATTAGTACATAAACATTTGCATTTCTAATACAATGTACCCCAAATGTATTAAACCTTATTAAATTAACCTTAACTTAATTCAACAGAGTTCATTCAGGATATTGTCAGTCTGTCTGTCACAGCATCTCTTGTAGAAAGACACCCCGTCTTGATCTAAAGTTTTTAAGAGACGGAGAATCCATCACATCCTTAAGTAAGTTGTTCCAATAGGTAATTGCCTTCAGTGCTAAAAAAATCGCACATTATTTTGCATCTGAATTCGTCTAACTTCAGCTTCCATCCATTGAACCTTTAAATTTAATTAAATTAAAATGAGTGTTGCTATTATGAAAAGTGAGCTGACTTAACAGTGACGGCAGAGGACTGAGGATGGAGGTAAAACAAACAAAAATTAATAAGACCAATGACAGAAAAGCACTTCTGTATAGGATACTAATGTGTACCTCTTTTAAAAAATGAATACACATTATTAACTGAGCTTTGTACTTTCCTCGCTTTCAGACATCATGATCACCATTGTCTTCAATAAGGTTGCACAAGTATAACTGTGAGCATAATTTAGCCATGGAAGTGGAATTTAACCATCCTGTTGAGCATGCAAAGCCAAAACAGAATCCAGCTCCCTCTCCAGAACTGTATTGGCTCTGCAGTGTTTCTAACTGGAGTAAAGAGTAGTATTTCCATCTTTAAAATCAACGTATCTGATTAACTAAATACAAGTAGCAGATCTGTTCATTAAGAAGATGGCATTTTTACATAGGCACCTCGCAGAGCACAATCACAATTTACCAGCATGAAGCAGCAGAAGGAACCTTAAACCTGACTGTAATTTTATGAGATAGCACATAATGTTCTGCGTTGATACAGGAATCACTGGTGAAATTCTATATCTTATGTTATATAGGTGGTCAGATTAAATTGTCATAATGGACCATTCTGGTCTTAAACACCTATGAATACCAGAGAGAGAGAGAGAGAATGAGACAAGTCGCTGGTGTGGGGATCACACAATCCACAATGCGTAAACAGGACTGAAGTAGTGCCTAACTCATGTGCCGACATTCTGCAGTGGGTGAATTTCACCCTGAATAGAGAGAGATGTTTGTATTCAGGATGCTCTTCCTCAGGTAATAGCCAATTTTTTTTTTTTTTTTGGTTGCTGGGAAAATCACACGAACACTCATCACTAATCCAATAATCCTGGGCTCTACACCTAATATTATCCATCTACAGCAGATGCCCAGCATCTTGAGATCTGTGGAACTCTCCAAGAATATACCATGCCTCAAAGACTGTCTGGGATATGGACCTGTGAATGACACAGCAGTAAGGAATGCTGGGAACAGGAGTAATATGGAAGGAAGGAAA